CTCCAGGCCAGCGGTCACTCTTTCAGGGATGAAGATGTTCACACCCTGGATAGAGAGGAACGATGGTTTGAGAGAGGAGTAAAGGAGGCCATCTTTGTGAAAAGAAACCGTCCATCGTTAAACAGGGGTGGAGGCCTCCGGGTTCAACTGTCCCCCTCTTACAATGCTGTGATTGCTAGTATCACTCAGCCCTCTGTGAACAGTAAACAGCCATCAGTGTGCTAATGATCCATTGTTAGGCTGATGGTCCTTCTTGAGCATGTGAGCAGCTGGTTTTGGTTGTCAGCAGCAAAACTGGTTGATCCACTCTGAGACGGTGCTATTTAAGAGACGGAGCTGAATACAGCACCTCAGACTGAGGAAGTCTCTCGGATGAGAGACGAAACGTTTCTACATTTTTTTGTTGATTTGCTTTGTTTTGTTTTTTTGAATGTCCAGAGGACCAGATTTAACTTTTTTAGATTTTTCTACCTGGATTATTGAGCATGCATCAGGATACCACTTGAGAATGTCATAAATGTTTTTAAACCATATTTCCTGCTCGCAGACATCAGATGTGAGGATGGACGAAAGTTAAATGTCTAATGTTTGTGTGTTGACAGGCTGTGGATGTTGTGGGTCAGGCAGGTAAGCCAAAGGCCATCACAGGTTTCCAAACTCACACCACACCAGTGCTGCTGGCTCATGGAGAGAGGGCGGAGCTGGCTACAGAGGAGTACCTCCCTGTCACACCCATCCTGGAGGGCTTTGTTATCCTCCGCAAGAACCCCAACTATGAAACTTAGGCTGCACCTGTCCACTCGGTCCTTTCCTTGTCTGTAGGTGTGGCCCTCCAAGGCCGTTAAAGTTTTGTTCGGATGTTTGTTGCATAGCTGAAAGACAGAAAACAGGCAGGTCTATCTTTTCTCATCTGCAGTCTTTGGCCCAGCAGCAGTCAGTGAAGATCCATGGATTGTGTGGTTGATCAGTAAACCAGGACTCGACTCTTCACATCGTTGGTTTCTGTGTTTCTCACATTTTGATCCACTTGGACAGACATAGCTGCTCGACCGGCCTAGGACCAGTTGACAAATGGGACCTGAAGCCACCATGCTGTAAATGTTGCAGTTGCCAGTGCGTCGATGACTGCAGCTCGTCCTGGAAAACAACTCCCAATTGTTTCCCCTAACTTACATCCACGCTCATCTTTTGTAACTAAAACTATTCAAAGTATGTGTTTTGCATCACTATTTTTTTTTCTTTTTTGTTGTTACAGTGCAGAAGGTTGAATCAAAAATAAAAACTCATCCATTTGTTGGAAGTTGGTCTGTTTATTTGCATTTTGTCGTGTTATTTTGTATTTCTAAACCCATCTTGAATCGGCAAAGATGGAACAAGAACACAACAATTCAAGACGGTCTCATCTGCACTGGTAACAAAGCCTGAAGCCAGAATAACAAGAATCCAACATTTTTCAGTCAGGTCATCTGGACAGTTTCTTTTTTTGTGCTGAAACGTTTCACCTTCCATCCAGAAGGTTTCATCAGTCAAGGAAACACAACACAAAACTGATTCATCCCCCAAACAGCTTACTCCAAAGTGGAACAAACCAGTTTTGTTGGTGCTAACAAGATTCAACTTAGTTTAACACTCATTAAAAGGGAGGACAGATCAAATTTATTGATCAACAATATTTAGATTACTTGACTTTATCTGCCTTTTCGATCTCATCAGCTGAATCTGTTCGTTTCAGGGAAGTTTCATTATAGAACAAATATTTATGGAACTTAGACCAAGATAAACATTAAAATGGTATGAAGTTTATTCATTTTAAAAAAAGTACAAAACAATTCCATAACAATATAAAAAAGATACAAAAAATTTAAAATGAAAGGCAGCAGAAAAGAAAAAATCTTATTATATCTGCCCCTTTTTTCAAACAATTATTTCAATCATAATAATTTTCAAAAATCATCCATCTTTATCTGTTTCTTCCTTTTTGGATCATGGGGGTCACTTGTGCCCATATCCAACAGTCACTGTGCGAGAGGACGGGACACCCTGAACAGGTCTCAAGTCCATCACAGAGACAAACCATTCACTCTCATTCTCACCTAGGGACAAAGTTACCAACATTCATGTTTTTGGTCTGTGGGAGGAAACTGGAGAAAACCCACACAGCATGGAGAGAACATGCAAACTCCACCCAGAAAGGCCCTCAGCTGGGATTTGAACTGGCAACCTGCTTGCTGAGAGATGGCAGCTCTACCAACTTCACCACTGTGTCATCCACATTATAATCACCTCAAATATAAAATTAACACTGAAACTTTGGGAATAATGAAAATTAAACGAGTGATTTTTCTGAATTTAACTGGACGTATCTTCATTGATGATTTAACTAGAACGGGGGAGTGGTGGCACAGAGGCTAGAAAAGGGCCTGCAATCAAGGTTGCCGGTTTGACTACCTAAACAAACA